CCTGTGTTTTCTCTGGGTGATAACAGTGGTAAAGGGACTGTGCCTTGTGTGTCCTCAGTGAAATCAAAAAAAGGGAGAGCAGCCAGCATTAAAGGGTCAGCGTACCGCTCATCCAGAGTGGAGGCCTTGCAAATCAGGCGATCTTTTTTACAGGCACATACTGAGCGAAGGCAGGCTCCGGTAGAAGTAGCAAATCAAGAACGTGCACAATCTATGCATGGTGGAAAGAGGTCCTACAGCACATATGCTACAGAGAACAGAGCGATTGCTCAGTATGGGATGTAGCTTTCAGGAGTCATAGGGGTATACACGTGGGGAACCCACCTCTGTTACAGTGGAAAATAGACTGGGCAAAAGAAGGATGCAAATCGAACGCAGGCAGGTATTTGTATAGGAGAGAACTGCAAGACAGCACAGTTACCCTGGGTACCTACATCTTGAGAGCATTGATGGCGACCTACCTTCCCATGTGCAGTCTGTGTGTGCCTGAGAAGGGCATGCGATTGGGGCTGGGTGTGCCTGACGAGTGCAGAGATGATCCCCAGCGTTGGGAAGTGTGTGTCAGCTGGAAATGGAGGTCTACAAATGCAGAGATGTATGAAGAGTGTAGCTGGAGAAGTCTGTAAGGACGAGTATGTGATGGGGGTCCAGATGTTGGACAGATGTCGTCAGGTACGTGAAGAACGTATTTAAAAGTTTGCATGTGAAAAAGCAGAAAATTTAATGAGCTTTTATAACCCTTCAGTCACCCTGTAAATGTAACTAGAGAAGTCTTCCCCTGCTACGATGGGATGGTTCTGAAAATGTGTGGGAAGAATGCCTTCATCTGTTAAAGTCAACATTTTTTAATCAGTGGACATGGGGCTGTGTGTGACAGTAGCGCATACCTTTGCTGGTTACCAGAGCAAACCTTTGCTGACTAACCTTTGCTGGTTAGTCAGAGACTGCTCTGTAAGGGCAGCAGTGTCGAAGTGCAAAGGGGTGATCTCATCCTTTTCCTTTCTGTGCTTTTTCTTCCAGCATGTGTTGTGCATCAGGAGGTTGCACTGCTGTTACCTGCCCATTGCACAGCTCCAGTGGCCTTGTGGTCGAGTTGATTGACTCGGAGCAACTGATGCCAGAGGTGAGTCTTTGTTGGCTCCTGACAGTCAGGAGGGGCTGTGCGAGGAACAGACCTTGCTGATTCTTAGCTGTACAATAAAGAGGACAGTTGCACTGAAGCGAGCTGATGTGATTGTGGATGGCAGAGAAATTGCTGAGATAGCTGCCACATGAAGGGCAGTCATGCAGGTTTTGTGTTCCCACTCCCATACCCTGGCTGAGAGATCATAACAGGGAGGGATTGGTGGGCATGGGGGTGCTGAATGTATTTGTATCTCCTCGTCTTGTTGTGCCTTTTGCAAAGGAGCCGGCCTTTTTTCTTTTTTTTTTTTTCTTTTTTGTGTCTGTGCAGCATTAACTGGGTGGGTTGCCATAGCAACCCCTGCATGATCAGTTGGACTGCTTCCTGCAGCATTCAAGATTTATCTCCCTCAATATTCAGTCCCCTTTATCATTGCCCCTGGGGTGCCAAAATGGCTGAGGGTTTTGTGGTGCAGAGCATCCTGTGCCCTAAGGATTACACCTGCCTTGTAGCCTTTGGGGCTGTGTTAGAACAGGAAGGAGGGGGCTGTGCATCCTTGTGTTGGAGGCTTTTGAAGAATGTATGCACTCCGTCCTTCTGCAGCACACAAGAGCCGACAATTGAAACAGGCTTCCAGTGTGGCAGAAACTGCACCGTGACATCCCGTTTATTTGCATATTTTCCTAAAGAAAATATGGCCAGTGTTTATTGTGTGTTCCGGGTGGGCACATGGAGTTGTTGGAGTGGTTCCCAGTTAAGACCGGATCAGCGCAAGAATTAAAGTATCTTATCCTTTCATTCTAAAAAGGTCGAGTCTCCCTGAGTAATTCCAGGCAGGTTTAAAAAAAGAAAAAAAAATCTGCCCCTTGCAGTTCAATAAGCTGGACTATAAGTAATTGTTTTAAATCATCCTTGGTTTTGTCTGTAGTACGTGGAACACCCTGCAGGTGAAGAGTAAGCTTCTTCAGAGCTGGGGGAAAGGGTGTGTTCTCCACTTGCTTCCCTGGCCTGGGGCTTTTTGTGTGATAATTCACCCAAATCCAAGGCCAGCGTCACCGCAGATTTTCTTCACCTCTGGGTCCAGTTTCCCTTCTCGTAATGGTGATTGGAACGCTGCTCTCACCAGGATGAGTAGTATGGTAGTGCCTGAGGTCTGTAAATCACAGGTTCTGAAGGACAGCTCATTACTTTTTTAGGATGTTTGTTCATCATTGTAGTTCAGATTGGTTGTCAAGTGAGTTTTGGAGTTCAGGAGTTAGAGAAGAAAAAGGCTTCTTTTTCTGTTGAAGCCTTCCCCAGGAGTATCGTTCCCAGGGCCACCTTGTGGGAGGGAGCACCGAGGCCCTGATGGTAGGATTGGGCTAAGAAATAAGTAGAGAGGGTGACTGCTGACCAAATCAGCATTATAGGGCTGCTGCTTCCTCTTAATCTTATATTGTCAGACCCTCTTTCTCTTCCCTGGAAGGGTTGTCCATAATAGATGTAATTAGAGCAGCCGTAGCACAAACAGTACAGCTCTGGTGATCCAAGTGTCCTGTTTTCTGGCAGTGCACCTGGCTTCCTGAGAACAGATGTTATTTCCACTGCAGTTCATGAAACAGGTGGTTGTCAAATGAGAAAGGCCAGGGACATTGTTCAGTAGTTTGTGTGTCTATAAAAAGCCCCACCATCAGCATCCTTCCACAGTGCACAGGTTGGATTGTCCTAAAAGAGTTAGGAGCAAATCCTGTGGCTTAACCTGCCTTTCCTTCCCTCTGCGGAATTGTGTATGTAGAAAGGAGTAAGGGGAGAAAAGGAGATGGCTTGACATAGTGGTCTGTGCCCTTCCATGATCTCTAGATGTTATGAGCTACCATTTTGTCTTCTCAGGGAGAAAACTCAAGTTTTATGGTTTAGAGATATTCATGAAGGATGGCTCTTGAGGGGGAATTGGAAATGTGTTGCTGATAGCTGTGGGCCGCTGACTTCCAGGTTGTTGATTTCCAGAGTTGCACCTGGCTCCTGGAGGTACGTTAAATAGGTGTTTTCTGTGGTAAGTTTGATAGTAGGAGTGCACAGTAACCCAAAGAAACCTAGCAGAAGAGGAGCAAGAAGTGAAACCTAACGGAGTGCACAGTAACCCAAAGAAACCTATCAGAAGAGGAGCAAGAAGTGAAAGCTTTAGTAACCCCTGTGTGTAGCAACTGTTGTGGCTTTGCGCACTCCATGCGCTGCACTACTTCAGGGCTGTAAAGGCTTCAGGGGTCACAGTCAACCACGGATTGGAACAGGGCAGAGTACAACCTGTCAAGTCAGTAAAATGAAGCAGGACTAGGAGGTAGGAGGATATCATCTTAGCTAGGAATTAATTGGACTTGTCACCCTCACCATGAGAAGGACTCCGCATGCACAGGTACATTATGGCCTCTTGCATGTGTTTGAGGTGGAGTGGTGCCTAAACGGGGGCCTGAGGGTGCTGCTTTGACATGAGCATGATTCACGTTACTCGGCTATTGCAGAAATCCAGCATGCAAAGAAGTCACAGTAGGATATGAAGGGTGACATGGGGGCATCCGCTTTGCTCACGGTTATTGGCAGATAATGAACGCAGCCTGCTGATGCAAACGGGAATAGATGATGTATAGGAAAAGCGTTTGCTGCCTCTGTTCTCCCTGTGCTTTGTGCATATGCAGTGTAGGGACCAGACTGCACGAGCATACCCTTAGCAGCAAGCCCCCAGTGCCAGGAGGGCACAGGGTTGGCCACGGGTCGGCAAACATCACCTGGAAGCGCACTTCCTCAGCAGTGTTGTGCCCTGCTGCGAGTCCCTGTGCAGCTGACTGTCAAAACTGGATGGATGGCTCCAGGCGGACGCTTTCTAATGGCTGCAGATTTCTCTGTTTGGGTGGGTCCTACTCTCTGTGTCGTAGCTCTGTGCAACACTTGCTTCTGATTTTTGTCACTGGAAGTTGCTCATGCGCCATTCTCTGCTCGGGCTGGTCAGGTTTAATTCAATTGATTGTGCTGTTTATAGAGCTGCCATCAGAGTAGATGCTTGAAAAAGAGGGAGCACGTTTAACAAGCACTTGCTTTTTTCCCCCCCTCTGTGCCCGTTGTGACCTTCAAAGTTGGAGGAGCCCTTCTGGGCACTGTGGCTCCAGTCCAAGAAGAGAAAACCCAGCCTGCTTCTGGCATTAAACTCCTGGGAATCAGACTGGAACATGAGAAGAGAGGATTTCCCAGTATTTCCAACTGTGACCTTCAGAGCTGTACAAATGTTGGTATTAAACTCATTAGAGAGGGAGGTCCTTCTGTGACCTCCGTGGATAACTGTCCCCCGCCCTCCCCCTTGGCTTTATTTGGGAGGCCGGATGAATGATGCTAATATCCCCTCTCCACTCCTGTTGCCAAGCTGCCACGTCCCTGCAGCCGGGGAAGCAGGATGCCCGAGCGCTGACCCCTCCAGCGACTCCAGAAGGCGCTGCAGAGCCCGAAGGGCAAGAGCGGAGCTCAGGCAGCTACTGGCACGAGGGGACAGCTGAGCCCCAAGCTCCTTACGCGAGCGCGAGCGGAGCGCAGCAGGCA